TGAAAGATTTTTAAATGCACCTACATGTGACCACGACGAAACTTAGATGCTCTAGTCTCCTGATTCTGACAAAAAGCAAACAAATTCACTATTTCTCCACTGCAATGCAGATTTCACTATGGCATATATTACAATCAGAATTTGTCTGCAGATAGAAGCATCTTGACAAAGTTTCCTGTAGCCCAGAGATCAAGCGTTGCTTTGCAATAGCTGTGTAGTCTGTTTTAGTTATATTGCCTTGATGGTGATTTTCTGCTTCACTGCTGTGATGGCGAACAGTGTTGAATAAGCCATGCACTTGGAAAATTGCATGGGCAGCAATTGAATGGTCTTGTCTCAAGCGTATCTTGCTTTATCCCCGAGTCTGCTACTATAAACTCTGGCTCACCCTGCTCACTTTGTTTTACTTACTAAGAGATAATTGAGAATGAACGGGTGTTTAAAGTTAGAATAACGATGCATTGCTTTGACTACACAATTCTAATAAGAGTGAATCTGAAGCATGACATCTTTCTCATACCATGTATTATATTATTAATTAAAAATACCAGTTCTTCCTTTCAGCACTGCTACAAGATGGACTATGGTATCTGGCAGCATTTTCCTACTCGTAGTTGATGTTGCGTCAGTGTATGCACACAGTGTCATCATGCATGACTACAAGGCTTTAGACTAAAAACCATTGCTCGCTTTGTGTCCCTGAAACAAGAATGATTTGGCCTGAGTATTCGAAGGATATGTAGCTCTCATGTTAGTGGGTTCTGTTTAATTCCAGTTATTATCGCCATTGGGTGATATATTAGAAGGGGCAGCTTTTCTAAAAACATCAAATCTACCCTTTATTTACTGTTTATGTTTTAAGTCCCCTAAGGCTGTTTGTTTTCAATTAAAAAGTGGTACATTTCAAGCATGTCAGCATTCCCTCTGTCAGTGTGGAGTGAGTGGGAAGAGATGGATGGACTGAAGTGTGGTGTTAAGACACTCTTTGTGGGAGAAAGAGCATCTTTTTGGATACTTTAGGGGTCATTTGTTTTGCAAATGACTTTCATGAAAGGAACTCTGTATTAGAAGAGAAATGTTTTGAAACTACTGCACATTCTTTTTGTTTCCTGATTCAGGTATCAGTATTTACAGATCTAGAGCATCTTGGTAGAATAGTACACCACCTTGATTGTTAGATATTAAACAATGTATTCTCAGATCCATCTGGTCATTTCTGCATGTGCATGCTTGTAATACCCCTACTTCAACTTTGTCTTTAAACAAAATATCGAGCCATTTGGTGTGTGCCCACAAAGTACACATTGCATATGAAGATATTTTAATTTTGTGTCGTTCCCTGTTTCTCTTTTTGTTTCTGGCCATGTTAGCTGTCAGTTTATTCCAAGTTAATTTTAATTAATTCTTGTGCAAATCACACAGCCCTTTTGTGCAAAGTGACAGAAAAGGACAGGGATCTGCACTGCTATTCAGAACCACCTCCACAAGCATGCCTTTGCCCTAACCTGCATTATTGTCATAAGGCAAAAATCAGTTTTTTATACTTCTCAGTGACTCTGTACAGTGACTTATATGGGGAAAATGCAGTGCATTTTGTTGCTTAGCTCCCAAAGTGCTCAGCACTTTAGCAAAATTAAGCGTGCATGCTGAATACATTCTTTGGGATTGCAGATTTTCTGTGACCTCCGAGTGCACTACCTAGATGGGTGCCAGCGCTGACCTGGTGTTGAACGCTGTTGCTTTCTCTCAGTAGTGATGCCTTTTGATGTGTCATCCTGATAATAATTAATAAGCATTTGCTTTTGGAGCACAGAACAC